AGCCACAAAGGGCAGTTTCACAGCTACTGGGTGTTTAATTCATAGAAATCAATGATGACAAGCCTAGAGAGGCCATTATACAAACGGCAATGTAACCATGAAGTCTTGTTTGTTTCCTTTTAACAGTGACTGTGTTTGTTGTATTCTTCCTGGGTGCATTTGGCATTCTAGTTAGGGATCAAGAGAACTGGCAACCCAGAACTTCTAAGAATTACTATCTGTTTACCACAATCTTCATATTCAAAGAATTAGTAACATTTTTTATTCTTTTAAATGTGCATTTTCTTTTTCTTTTTATGACTTTGCTGTAACTTGAAACACCCCAAAACTTTCAAACCACAAGCAACAATTCTGACTAAGACCACACAAGGCAATCAGTGGATACCTAGAGAGTTAACACTGTGAACTTTGCTATAAAAAGTCAAGTTTCTAATAGTTGGATTTTTTTGTTTTAATTGTGCACTGAGTGATAGTTTAACATGGAGAACATCTGGGCTTTACTCCATCGTTTCATTGCAATGATTACAATCTCCTCCATGCATCATCATCCAACAGTATTTGCTTCCATTCCCTCTGTTCTTCTTTTATTTTTTGGGGGTGGGGGTGGGGAGATGTAAAAAAAAACAAACCACTCAGGAATATAGAATAATTTAAACAACCAAAGGACACATTCTGCAAACCTGCCTCCTGGCCGCCAGTACTCAGCCCCTCTCTTTCCATGAGTCTAGAGTCCTCAGCTGCTCCCTCTCTCCATGTCCTCATCTCTGTCTCCATCTTTGGTGTTGCTACTTCTCTGGATAGGGTTCTGCATTCTGCTTGTACTCTTCTCCCTTGGTGGTCCTAGGGCCCTTTGTTTCTGGACTGTAAGATTAACTACTCCCCCATTTTTGGTACAAAACTTCTATTCTTAAACAGTTGTGACAGTCTCAATTAGTCATGATAACAATTACTCACAATTGAATCATAAGAATCTTATCCCCATCTCTTTTCACCAGACCCATCTAGACAAGATGGAAACTATCCAGTGGGGACTCTATCTTCCCCACACACTCTTAAAATAAACTCCCTCTTGAAAACTTGTGAGCCAGCCACTTCATGCCTTTATTGCCCCCCCCTCCCATTTTAGTTCGCCAAGGTCTAAGTTGCCCGTCCCTATCTATCCTGTATACAGAAGGGATAGGATTGATACTTGATGTGAAGACTCCTTCCCTCTCTGTTGGTATTTTGAGCTACTATATCCATTAGCATAGGTCAAGTTCATCAGATTGTAGCAACTTACACTCCTTTCCTTTTCTGATAGCTGGGTTTTGATTTTAAATATTCAATCAATTTCATCTATCCCCATCCATCCTCTGGCTAGCTGGCTACTGACCACATGTATGTTGTTGTTATTGTTAAGTGCTGTCGAGTTGGTTCCGACTCATAGAGTCTGTATAGGGCTTCCTAGGAGTGGTTAATGAGCTTGAACTGTCGACCTTGTGGTTCAAACCAACCTTCCAGTCCAGTGCATTAACCCACAGTGCCACACCAGGACTCTGACCACATGTATAACAATTTTTTTAGCACTAAAAAATGTTAATGAAATGAACTAGAAAATGTAATGAAATGTTAATTGAACCCAAGAGTTATATGGAAGAAGATGAAATATCTAGCTCATATCTGCTTTTTGGAATGCTTCTGTGGATCAATGTGAGCAATTATTAAACCCAGATAACACTAACACTTGATATTTACACTCCCTGGCTCCTTGTCAATCATCTTCCGTAAGACTTTTTACTGAGTTTATTATTTTCTAGGTATTCAATTTTAGAAGACAAGGTATATACTTTGTATTAATACGATAGAAAATTGGTCAACCTTTCCCATATAGGAGACACTGGCAATCAAAGCTACTAGATGTGTGGTTTGCTTCTTGACCTTTCTAAAATATTTTGGCTGCCATACTGTAATAATGTAGAAAACATTCCAGAAAAAAAGGCCAATTAAGTTAAACAACAGGGACAGTAACATGGCAGAGTAGGAAAAGGAGGCTATGGAGCAAAGCACACCTGTGTTCACATTGGGCTCTGCCATTGAAGAGCTGCGCCCACAAAGTTATCTGCTTTGTGGAAACATCTGGTTCGTGAACTCTGGATAAGAGCCCTCACAGTGTGAGTGTAATGAGATAAAGCCCATGAAAGACCCAACCCTGGGCCTATCACTCAACAGAACAGTTAACTTCCTTTCTTCTGAGGTTATGAAGGATGGTGATGCATAAATTATTTTTACTAAAAGGGTTATCTCTCCAACTAGGACATGATCTCTAAGGAAGGTGAATCCCAACATCTAGCCTTCCAGTGAGCAGTCTCTTTACTCACCAAAAATGGTCTTTTCTCTGTGCCCATTCACAGTACCAGACACTTCTTCATTAACTAGCTCATTCTGCATGCAATGCCTCTTTTCTCCAGTAGCATTTAAATTATGCACAAAGGAGGGAGGCTGGCACATAGTACCTGCTCAATAAGCAGACAGAATGAAAACATCTTGTTAGAGTGACATGAGACATACACCACCGTTGATACATGAGATGATTTCAGGGGCTCAACACAGCCTGTTGTTGTTAAGGTGCCATCGAGTTGGTACCGACTCATAGTGACCTTAAGCACAGCAGAACAAAACACTGCCTGATCCTGGGCCAACATAGACTAGGTTTCTTAATAATGTTAATGTTTACATGAAGGGGCTTCAAAAAGTTATTTGAAAAGTTTCATTCCATTTTCTCATAAATGGAATGTATACACACACACAAACGTAAATGGTGAATGGTATATATATATAAAATTGTTATATGTATATGTGTGTGTATATATGTGTATACCACTGCACCATCAGGATATATGTGTGTATTTTGTATATATGTGTGTCCCTGGTGGCACCAGTGGTTATGTATATACAGTGTGGTATGTAACTTTCTCCCGCAGAGTGGCTGGTGGCCTAGAACTGTGGTCCTGATGGTTTGCATGCAGTCCAGTGTTTATCGTATGCAGCCACTGTGTTCCTTTGGGAAATATATGATGGCTGAATTCAATATTATTTTTTTCTGCTCTATCTGGTAGAAAAGCAACATCAGATTTGGAGTCACAGGCTTCCTTTTAAATCACACCTCTGCTGCTTTTAAGCTGCTGATCTTGTTGTTGTTTGGTGTTGTTGAGTCAGTTTTGACTTATAGTGACCCCAAGTGACAGAACAGAATTGTGATTGTCTTTATAGGAGCGGGTTGCCTGGAGTGGTTGGGTGGGTTTGAACTGCCAACATTTTGGTTAGCAGCTGAGCGTTTCACTGTTGACTCAAGTAAGTAAATTGATCACTCCTTCTCAGTTTCCTGTTACTGTTGGATTAAAAAGTCAACACAGGGATGAAGTTTGGGGCACTATCTGGCACACAGAGGGTCTTGCCATGATCCTTTCCTGGACTTTCCCATCAATACAGATGAATTAGCTGAGTTCTACAAACAGTGCCCCCAAATTTACTACATGTACAAAACTTAATTTTGCTAAACAAAAATGCAAATAATGTCTGACCACTCCTTTTCCGTGTAAGCTAGATTTTGAACATGCTCAGTGCAAATATGCTTAACTTCCCAACTCACATTTTTCCATGGAAATAAAAATAGAAAAGGAAAGAAAAGAGAGATTAGATTATAACTAGGTTCTCTGTTTAATTTTAACCAGGCTGAATTTAGTACCACAGGTATGGATTATTGTCCTGGCAGATCTTTATTATATTATTTGACTACCGCTTGTGACTCAAAAATCAAACACATGAATCACAGATTCTTAGAGTCAAAGAGGCCGTGGGAGTCAGCTGACCCATTCACTCATGCTATAAACACTGCTAAAACAATCTCCAGGGGTGTCCAGTCTCTTCTTGGGGCATCCAATGAGAACATTGCACTATTTTCACAAGATCCTAACCTTTTGTTCAGATTATGGTCTGATGGTTAGTTCCTACCACTCCACCCCACATTGAACAAAACAAAACAAAACAAAACAAATATATATTTCTATATCACTAGTCCTAAGGAGCTCTGGTAGCGTAGTGGTTATGAATCGGGCTGCGAACTGCAAGGTCAGCAGTTCGAAACTACCAGCTGTTCCGTGGGAGAAAGATGAGGCTTTCTGATCCTTTAAAGATTTACAGCCTCAGAAACCCAGTATAGGGTCGCTATGAGTCGGAACCGACTCCACGGCACCTAACCACCACCAGTCCTAGTTTAAGGAGTCCTGCTAGCATAGTGGGTTAGGTATTGGACTGCTAACCACAAGGTCAGAAGTTCAAATCCACTAGCGGCTCCACGGGAGAAAGCTGAGGCTTTCTGCTCCTATAAAGATGTACAGCCTCAGAAACCCTGCACAGGGTGTTGCTACGAGTCGGAACCGACTCCATGGCACACAGCTGCAGCTGCAGTCCTACTTTACTCTCTACAGTGCTTCAAATATGTTTAGTTTTTCCGCCCCCCTGACAACACTTAAAGTCTCGTAAAACAGCACTGACATCGTCCTTCCTTCCCTATTTCCCTTCAACCTAAACAGTCTCAGTTCTTTTAACTAAAGTTCACCGTCAAAATTTCCATATACTTAATCGTCTTGGTCCTTCTTCTGTATCTTGAGGGTATTCTTTGACTACAAAGATGATGTTATGCTGCATTTTCATTATGTCTTGTCATCACCAACAAAAATGGTGTAAATCATAATTGTGGAGTCCTCCTTCCCAAACACAGTTCCCAAGAGTTGGAAATGAGAGTCACGCAAAACTACATTATAATGACTGAGAAGGTGGCTTACAGGATAGGCTCAAGTGATGGCCCAAACAGGTAAATTTGCATATTATGAACCTAAATGAAACACAATACTACCCTGCTGCATAAACTAAAGAAGTTGGGACTGTATCTGGCACACAGTAGGCCTGCATGAAACAGCTCTTGTCTAGGTAAACAGAGTGAAACAAAATGCAACTCTTACTTTCTACGAAACATTTCTGCAAATATGCAGCCAACACTCCAGAGATCCACAGGGGTGGCGTAGCTGGACTGAAGCAAGACTTCTGGAGCTCTGTACCACAGCGTGACGACCTGCAACGGCAAACAGACTCAGCGTTACTGAGGAAGATGACTATTTAAACTCCGCAACCTGCATGGTTTAAGGCCAAGATTTAGCTTGGAAAAGACTCCTATAAATCATATGGAGACACTGAGATAGAACCAGTGTATAAATAGGGCTCATTGCTAACAGGTCAGGAAATTACATCCTTCCTACTACCTGGCTTCTAATTCAGACTTTGTGTCTTCCTAGAAGGGCAAAAATGACCTGACTTTCAAAAAGAAAAGCAAAAAAAAAAGAACCAACTTATCTCTAAATAGTTAAAAATAGTTTTAACTTTAGATAGTAAAAGAACTATTTTTTCCCCTATGTTTAAAAACAGTACATGCAAAACAGGTGATATCTGGCCGACTGATTGGAAGGGTCTTGCCAAGATCCTGTATTTGTGCCCATTCCAAAGAAGTGACCCAATGGAATGCAGAAATCATTGGAAAAATCTCTTTGAGATCCCATGCGAGTAACGTTTTACTAAAGGTAATACAGAAATGGTTTCAAGCATATATTGACAGAGAACTTCCATAGGTTCAAGCCAGATTTAGAAGAGGATGTGGAATGAGGGATATCATTGCTGTTTCATCTTTGTGCAAAAACCAAAAACTAAAAAAGGAAAACAAAAGCAGAACCGATGCCTTCAAACTTGTGGTGTTGACAAAGTATATTGAATATATACAGAGGCATGAAGTGACTAGCTTACAAGCTTTCATGACTGTGTTTAGTTGGGGTAAAAAAAAAAAAAGACAGAGAGACATAGAGAGCAGAATGAACAAGAAAATATTCTCCTTCAATCTGCTGTCTAAAAGAGACATATCAAAAAGGTGGCGACACCCTGAATGTCCATCAACAGAAGAATGGCTAAACATACTTTGGTACATATATACAATGGACTACTACAAAATGTTGAAAAATAATGATGAATTTGCAAAACATCTCACAACATGTTTGAACCTGTAGGACATTATGCTGAGTAAAATTAGTGTTTGAGACCAGTGTTATAAAAAGTTGAGTAAAAAAACATAAAAAAGTTTTCTTGATAAAAGAAACAATCTATCGATGATGGTAACAGGATGGGGTGGGTGTTTGGGAGGCAACAGTGGGTGTTGTTGTTGTTGTAAGATGTCATCGAGTCTGTACCAACCCATAGTGACTTTATGCACAGCAGAACGAAACACTGCCTGATCCTGGGCCAACCTCACTACTGTTGCCACGCTTGAGTCCATCAATGTTGCCACTTGGCCAATCCATCTCGTTGGAGGTCTTCCTCGTTTTCTCTGACCCTCCACCTTACCAAACATTATCTCCTTCTCCAGCAACTGGTCCCTCCTGACAATATGTCCGAAGTATGAGAGACCAAGTTTGGCCATCTTGACCTCTAAGGAGTACTCTGGCTGCACTTCTTCCAAAACGGATCTATTGATTCTTTTGGCAGCCCATGGCATTTTCAATACTGTCCTCCAACACCATAATTCAAAAGCATCAATTCTTCTACAGTCTTCTTTATTCACTGTCCAGCTTTTGTATACATATGAGGTTATTGAAAATACCATGGCTTGGATCAGGCACACATTAGTCCTCATGCTGACATTTTTGCTCTTCAGCACTTTTAAAAGGTCTTGTGCAGCAGATTTGCCTAATGCAATACGTCCTTTGGTTTCTCGACTGTTGCTTCCTTGAATGTTGATAGTTGATTTCAAGAAGAATGAAGTCCTTGACAACTTCAATCTTTTCTCCGTTGATAAGAATGTTGTTTATTGGTCCAGTGGTGAGGATTTTTGTTTTCTTTACATTGAGATGTAATCCATACAGAAGGCTGTGCTCTTTGATCTTCAGCACTAAATGTTTTAAGTCCTCTTCACTTTCAACAAGCAAGGTTGTATCATATGCATATTGTAGGTTCTTAATGAGTCTTCCTCCAATCCTCATGCCACATTTTTCTTCATATAACCCAGCTTCTTGGATTATTTGCTCAGCATACAGGTTAAATAAGTATGGTAAAAGAATACAACCTTGTCACACACCTTTCTTAATTTTAAACCATTCAGTGTTTCCATGCTCTGTTCGAACAGCTGCCTTTTGGTCCAGGTAGAGATTCCTCATGAGCACAATTAAGTGTTCTGGAATACTCATACTTCACAATGTTGTCCATAGCTTGTCATGATCCACACAATCAAAAGCTTTTGCATAATCAATAAAGCACGGGTTAAACATCTTTCTAGTAGTTTCTGCTGTCAGCCAAGATCCATTGGGCATCAGCAATGATATCCCTCGTTCCACAGCCTCTTCTGAATTTGGCTTGAACCTCTGGAAGTTCTCTGTCAATGTATGCTTGCAGTTGTTTCTGTATTACCTTTAGTAAAACTTTACTCGCATGGGATATCAAAGAGATTGTCCGATGATTTCTGCATTCCATTGAGTCACCTCTCTTTGGAATGGGCACAAATATGGATCTCTTCCAATCAGTCAGCCAGATAGTTGTCTTCCAAATTTCTTGGCAGAGATGAGTGAGTGCCTCCTGTGCCTCCTCACTTTCTTGAAAGGTTTCAATTTTCATTCCACTGTGCTCCTCCTAATATTGCCCCATTCTTGTCTTCTTAGAACAAATGGGTGCTGTAGGATAAGCACTGGATTCTAATCACAAGGTTAGAAGTTTAAGCTCACCAGTTGCTCCACAGGAGAAAGATGAGGCTTTCTGCTCTCATAAAGATATATAATCTTAGAAATCCTATATAGGGTCACTATAAGTAGAAATTGACTTGATGGAAATGGATTTTGGTTTTTTGTTTTGGAATTATGGTATGTATTATTTTTTAAATACACACCTGGGTTCTATGTATGTGCTAATGTTTAATTAGGATATTAATTTAGACTACTCATTTTTATGTGTTATTAATAATACTATTATTATTCATGATTTAAGATACTCTATACTTTTATTTTGGTGTTAATTTTTTTATGTTTAATATTAGAGATATACAAGCTTCCCACCTTTTCTATACTTGGGAATAGTATAAACAGAATAAAAATGATAAACCCCCTTGAGGCGTCAACAAACTTACACATTAGAAAAAGGTCTGGGTCTGCATTTTTTGTTAGCTGTATGTCTTTATAACCTTTTACATGCATCGTGGCGATTGATTTATTTAGGTAACAACCTTTTTTTGAGTCACTTTTGGTGACTTAATTTAGATTTAAAAATGTATTCACTTAAATTTGTACCTAGTGTCCCTTTCAACTAGTTTAATCTCATATGTTTCCTTGGTCATACAGACTTTTCTCTTTCCTAATGTATATTTTTGTTCTCTGTTTATATTCAGTTTGTCACACACTTAGCGATATTGCTTTCTATTTTACAAACTGACATTGTTTTCCCCTTGAATGTTAAATTTTCCACATTCTCAGATTTTTAAATGAACGTTTTGTATATTTGTTCACCTGTAAATAAAATATAATGTACCCTTAATGTTCTCTTTAACCCGAGAATAAACTGCTTTGAAGAACAGTTTAGAGCTTTTTAAAATTTCCATATGGTCATGTTATTTTTGGCTATCTTTCAATTGTTGGATTTCTAGTTTTATTACATCACGGCCAAAGAATGTAATTTCTACTTGGTAGAATTTAATATGGTTTTCTTTATGATTATGTGTATAACTGGTTTGTGTTCTATGGGATGCAAAGAAGAATGGATTTTCTCTTTTAAGTGCAAAGTTCTTTATGAAGATTTTGCCTCACACAAATCCTTACTGATCTTTTTGTCTACTCTACTTGCCAGACTCTGAAAGAGAACAGAGTTTTTGTTTTCCTTTCCTTAGTAATTCCTTGTATAAGAGTTGCTGTCTCATATACATTGGCCTTAAGTTTTGGAGAAACACAATTTATGACAGAGTTTATTTATACAGATACAATATAATTAAGTAATAGGTATTTATTTTATAAGAGAATATGAATTGTACAAGATAGATCTCCAGTCAGTCCTCTAAAAAAAAAAGGCAAGGCCTATATGTAAAAGTAATAAATTACTACCTTTTGCAATAAAAAATAAAGGAACAGCATTTTCTAGTAATTATTCCCTAGTTTAAGCAATAGTATCCCTTATAGCAACAGTGCTTACTCAGGCTTAACTTGCTAATTAATGTGGTTGCTCTGTATTTTCGGACCCAGAGTCTTCCAATCCTAAAATTCAGTCATTATAATTTTAAACATCTCAGATGATGATGACAATTTTTATCATTTCAGCGGATTTAAACCAACCAAAACTCGTTCAAAGGTTGTAAGAAAAACATGATAAGCTTTCCTGATAGTAAAATATTATTATACTTCTGCACCTGAAACTTCTGATGGAAGACTGTCTTAACTTAAAACCTGTTCAAGTCACATGTTAAGCACAAATTTATTAATTTTTTGTTTTGAAAGTTATATAAATAATGCGCAACACTGATAAAAATGCTTCAAGGGTTTAATGTATAAAGGAAAGTTTTCAGCAATATAGTCAACTAATTTCTAATCCAAAGTTCTTTAACCTTAAGAATTCTAAATATCCTTATAGACAAAATATAATGGTATATTTAAATGTAAAAACAAACTGAGAGAAACAGTGAATGGCATACATAAAAACCAACATTCAGAAATCTAGGACAAAGGTGGCTTCTAATGATTACAATGCAGTTGTCTTGTAAGCAAAGATCACAATAGGAACTATGGACAGAGTTTGGTGGCTGGAGCCAGCTGGAACCAAAGCAAATACCATGTTTATTACTATCATTACAAGTATTAACAGCCTCTACAGGTGCTGAATGGATTTGGCAACAGGATGGGGAGCAAAACGGGAGGGGGTTTCAAGGATATTTACACAAGTGGATGTATCTGTTTAAACTGCTTTGATCTCTATTAACAATTTTTTGAACCAGTTCAGTTAACAGTAAAAGATAAAGTACAGCCAAAGCCAACTCTGGCTCAAAACACATGTTGGGAGTAAACC